GCAGTCAAACTATAATGGTGACTAAGTGCCGGAAAGCTGAGAGGGAGGGGGGCCAAGTGGAAAAATGAGCCTGAGGCAAGAGAAAGAGGGCTGGGAAAATGGAAGTTCCACCAGGCCCACAGGCCAGGTTAGAGATTCCTCCATGCATTAATAGCTGTGCCAGAGGTTTATTTACAGGGCACTAATCATTTTGGGGGGGAGCACCCCCACTTTATACCAGTAACTGTTGAAGAAACAGCCAAGCTGAGAGCATTTCAAGGATGGGAGCAAGAGTCCTTATTGAATTCCCAGGGGCACCTGCTCCTGTCTTCTCAGGCACTTTGGACTTGTTCTGCCGACTCCCTTTGACTAGGTTGTGATAGATCCCTACAGGGAGGGAGGGATACCTGTCTTCAGAGAGAGGAGTTTTTTTATTCCTTGTGGTTTTTCAAGTGTTGAAGCCAATAAGAATATAGATATGATTTGGCCACCAGCTAGGGAAACTAACCATCAGAAAGAACTGAACAAACAAAAGGGATAAAAAAAAAAAAAAAAAGCTGAGTTGTTAAGCTGCTTTTAACAAAGTGTAACTGTTTCTCAAGTGAAAGCCAAATGGAATGTTTTTAAAAAGTTGAAATTTGATTTGAAAGACCAGAGCCAAGTATTTTGATTATGGTGTTGGTTGTGGGAGAGGATGCCTGCACCTGCTGCTTGGTAGCAGCATCTAAAGTTCAACTTTGAAAGTTTCTTGCTTCTGTGATCAGGCCCTCAGGGCAGTGCTTTGACCCTTAGTAAAGTGTCACCAAATGGCAGTTAAGTGACCAGGGAGATGAGAGAAGTATTGTCCTTATCCCAATTCAGGAAATATATTGATTCTTTCTCCCTTGTTTCCTTCCTGCTATGATCCAGAATATTCAATTTTTGGTTTCACCTCCACCTACTAACTTAGACCTAACTCAAGAGGAGAGGTTAACTATGAACAATCTCCTCTTTTATATCTGGGAGGGACTTGTAGATAAGATTTGATAGTGGGTCTGATCTTTTTCACTAAGAGTTCAATTCTTTTGGTCCATCCTGTTGACTGCCTTTTATGATCCGAGGTTTTCTAACCATCTAGTAGTGTAGGTTACTCTCTAGAAATGTGAAACTGGGGACTACGTTCACCCAGTGGAATAATTCAATAATATATTTTAGCTTTAACATGTGTGTACCCAAATCCTAATCACTCAGCCTGAAAGAGGGCTAATATTTGACATTAGAAGAACAATTTCCAAGAGTTACAATTAAATTAGTTAGAAGAAAAAGAAATGATTATTAGATTAGCTTTAGTGATGTCACTATTCATCGATATAAACTACTACTATATTTATATTTATGTAAAAATAATTAACCTTTTTCAAGTGATTTATAACTTATCCTGTATTTTGTTTTAGTTGTCATTTTAAAACACCATAATTGTGTGAAATACTATCCTTATTTCATAGGTGCGGATATGGACAATTAGAGAAGCTAGGTAACCAGGGTTATATCATTAGTAAGAGGCGGAACTGGGGCCCAGATCCCAGTTTCCTATGTCTGCATTCTGTGCTTTTCTCACAACTTCATTTAATCTGTTATTTAAATGAAAGTAAATTAAAAGGTTAAAGGTGAATGAAAAGACCAAAGTATCAGCAATTATGTGATACATATTTAAAAAAATACTTCCTAAACTCCATCTGTTTACCTCTTCTGAGCTATTTATGGAGACATAATTTTATGTAGTATCGCCTCACCTTTACCTTTATAAATTTGACTTTGTTTTAAAATTACCACTACTTGTTACAGTAATTTCCAAAATGTTTTGCAGTGCTCACATTTGTCGTTTCTAATAACAATATGTTCCATTGTGTTAGTATACCGTTTTCCCCCACAGACAGATATTTGGGCTATTTCTAGATTTTAGCTCTAATATACAGCTGCAACTATAAATATCTTTGTAAAAAAATATTTTTCTTTTGAATTATTTCTTTGTGATATAGTGTTGGGAATGCTGAGTCAGAAGCTATCATTTAACTTCTTTTCTTGACAGAATGCCTTTCCGAAAGGCTATACCAGAGTGTTACTAGCGATATATAAACAAACCCAAATCCTTTTATCAAACCAAAGCTAGTATGTGGTTCTTCCACTTAATAGATGTGAGGTGATACTTTATATTAATTGTTTTAATGTGCATGTTTGTAAACTATTATTGTTTCGGGATGTTTCCCCAGTGTTTATCATGGGAACTCTGTGTGACTGTTCTTTTTTTTTTAAATAAATTTATTTATTTTTGGCTGAGTTGGGTCTTTGTTGCTGCTCGCGTGCTTTCTCTAGTTGCGGCTCTTCATTGTGGTGCCCGGGCTTCTCATTGCGGTGGCTTCTCTTGTGGAGGAGCACAGGCTCTAGCTGTGCAGGCTTCAGTAGTTGTGGCTTGCGGGCTCTAGAGCGCAGGCTCATTAGTTGTGGCGCACGTGCTTAGTTGCTCCACGGCATGTGGAATCTTCCCGGGCCAGGGCTCAAACCCGTGTCCCCTGCATTGGCAGGTGGATTCTTAACCCCTGCGCCACCAGGGAAGCCCCTGTGTGACTATTCTTATCTGCTATTTGATATGGATGACAGAGTGTTATCCTGATAGATTTTTATCAGTCCCCTAAAAGTTTTAGGGATAAAACTTTAGGGATAAAACCCGTAGCATTAATTGTTAATTTTCCCCTGCTCTGTTGCTTCCTTTTTAATCTCTTTTTTAATCTCTTTTTTCTTCTATGCAGTATTTAAAATTTAAATACTTTAAAGCCTTTTAGTTAAAAAAACTATTTTAAATGTACTCTTTTATTTTGGGGGAATTTATTATACCTATTGTGATATGAAAAATTTTTGCTCTGTTATCCAGTTTTATCAAAAGCATTATTATTATTTTAATGAGTATTTTTATCTTTACCAAAATATTACATTTTAGAAAAATTGGGAAATACATTAAAACACAAAGAAGAAAGTTAAAACACCCAAAGTTGCCTGTCCACAGTTAACCATTTTAGAGTCTGGAAATCTTCTAGTGTTCTTTCTAGGCATGCATATTTTTCTTCCCTCCCTTCTTTCTAATAAAGCTGGAACATGTAATACAAACCCAACAGCACTAATTAAGTAGTGATTTCTTTCCTTACTTTGAGATTTTACTTTGTATCTTTTAGAATCTTGAAAGCAGGACTTGCTTGCTGTCTTTTAGTAAAGGGTAGTAAAGGTGAAGATATAGTAGATACTGGAAGAAATGTTTGTTTCTCTCCTTTTCTCAGTAGACATGACAAGTTATTACTCTGTGTCCCAAGCAGTGTACCTTGTATTGTCCAGTGGAGCAAGTCAAGGAGACACAGGGGAGATATGGGGGCCTGAAATGGAATGTTCAAATTCTTGCCCACAGTTTCAAAATTCCGTCCAAATGTGCACTTTCACAAGGGACTTGAGCTCTTCTCCCTACCCCCTACCACTCCAACCCACCCCAAAACTATGCCATTCATGTTGCTGCTGAGCTCCCTCATCTCTTACTGCTCCAACTTTCTTCATCCAGAAAGTACTACTGACACTTCCCCTTCAACATTTTTTGAATGAAAAATTTAAAACATATAGAAAAGTTGAATGAATTGTATAATGAACACTCATACACCCGCCACCTAGATTCTACAGTGAACATTTTACTATGTTTGCCTTATCATGCATTTAAAGTGAGTTGCAGATATCAGTACACTTCACCTCTAAACAGTTTTGCGTGCATGCATATCATTGACTAGAGTATATTGGTTTATGGTTCTTTTTTTTTAAGAAAAATTTATATACAATGAAATGGTCAAATTTTAAGTTTATCATTTGATACGTTTTTGACAAATGCATACACACTTGCATGACCCAAATTCCTTCAAGATTTAGATATAAAGTGTTACCCCAGAAAGCTTCTACATATTATTTCCCAGTCAATTCCCATCTCCACCCTGGTGGTCAACACTGTTCTGATTTTTTCACCATTCATTAGTTATCCTTCTAATCAAACTTCACATAAATGGAATCATGCAATATGAACTGTTTTGTGTAAGGTTTCTTTCATTCAGAATGTTTTTGAGATTCGCCCACATCATTGTGTGTATCAATAATTCTTTCCTTTTTATTGCTGAGTCGTATTCCATTGTATGAATATGCACTGAAGTGTGTTTATCCATTCTCCTTTTGATGGATGCCTGGGCTGTTTACAACTTTTGGCTATTATGACTAAAGTTCCTATGAATAGTCTTGAGTAAGCCTTTTGTGGACATATGCTTTCATTTCTCTTGAGTAATTGCTAGGTCGTAGAATAGGTATATGTTTGGATTTATAATAAACTGCCAGACCTTTTCCCAGGCTGTACCATGTTCATCTCTCACAAGGATGTAGGAGAGTTCCTTATTCAAACACAGACACACACACACATACAGGGAGGATTTCTTCATATTTTGGGGCTTGTGTATTCATTTTGATGAGCAGAAAATTTTAATTTTGATAAAATCGAATTTATTGGATTTTTCTTTTATGTTATTGCTTTCTGTGTCTTACACTGTTGTCTACTTCCTGAGCCACAGAGATATTTTTATATTTTTTCTTCTAACAGCTTTATAGTTTTAGATTTTATGTTTAAATCTGTGATCTATTTTGAATTAATTTTTCTGTATGGTGTGAGGTAGGGATTTTTTTTTTTTCCACATGGCTAACCAGTGGTCCCAGTACTCTTTGTCATCCCTTCTCTGTTAGATAGCTTTGGCATCACTATGGACACTCTAAAGGACAGGCTGTTCTCCTTGGGTTTCTTGATTATCCTAGTGTGGAGGGAGAAGAGTTATTTCTTACTTGTCTCCTAACCCGTTCACTTATATTCACATATTTTCTGGATGTTCTGAGTCCTGACTTGTAAAAAAAGCCCAGGGAATTTTCTCTGGTTGGCAATGAGTTGTAGTGATTGGATTATCTGCTCTGTCTGGACACAGGATGGCCAGTGTACCAGTGAAGGAACGGGTGAAGGTATCTCAGAACTGGAGGTTGGGGCGCTGCCGAGAGGGGATTCTGCTGAAGTGGAAATGCAGGTAAGTAGCCTCTTGACTCTTTCAGAGCTACCTGGGACATTAAAGAATGCTGGGAAATGAAAAATCTAATCCTAGCTGGAGTATAAATGTGCCTGTCTTGGGTGATGGGGCACTGGTGATCCTTTAAATACCACAAAAGGGGCATCGGAGGGACAACTTTTTTTCACATTTAAAAAAAGATTATAAAAAATGTAATTTATTTTAACAGATTCCATATTTTTATGATTATAAAAATAATAAATGTTTATTGTAGAAATTTGAAAACATAGAAGAGCTTAAAGAAGGAAATAAAACTTACCTATAATCCTACCACTCAGAGGTAACCTCTGTTAATGCACCTCATCAAAAGAAATAAATGAAGCCAGTATTTCAGTTCATCTTGTTTTACAATTTTTTTAAAAAATTTTCTACTCTAGAGAGTTACACCTTCACTCTTGGCTTCCTGTAGCCCTCTCCCCTACTTTTATTAAAAAGCAAAATAGGATCTGAAGGTTTGGATATGTATGTTACAGGAGGTAGAGCTTGGAAAAAATGGCAGGAAATTTAGATAATGGCTTTGGCACTGCTAATGCCACAAATTTTATACTTCATTGATGCTGAATTATTTCATAGTTATTATTTGACTCCCTACCAAAAAGTGCTCTTTGTTGATTGGTTGGAATGGATAGGGAACATCATGATTCCACATTCCAGCGGACCTGGACCTGTGCCGATAGGTTCAGACAGGCTTCTTCATCTGATGACCTTTTTCTCTTGCTTGTATACAATTTCTGCTGCTTTCACTGACATGGGTTACTGCAAATTATGTGGTGGTGATGATGGTAAAGCAACTACAGGGGAGAAAGATGGATTTGTATGACAAAGGGCTTTACCCTCTGCTTCCCACTTTTGCCTTTTATTACCAGAAAGAAGAGTTTATTTCTCTAACAAGGTTTTGTTCCTGACGTCTGTTCGGGCTGGTTTCAAGCAATTTGGCAAATAAATACACAAAGTGGTTACCAGGCTGCCCCGTGATTCTCCACTGTTCACCTGACATGAACCTGGTTTCTTGTCCTGGGCAAATGGCTGTTTACCAGATGGCTCTAAACACATGAATTCCAAACCCCTCTGTTTGCTGCCCACTTGAGTGTGCCACAAACTCGTGCAAGGGGATGTTGAAGAGGAATGTGCATAATGAATGAGAGTGCAGGCATCTGCACACACTCTACAAATGTTCCATATAATATTTGCACACACTTGTAAAAACCTCATGTACAGAAACTAGTTACTACAAAGTCCAAGCTGCACTTAATGGTCCATCTTTGCAGAACTTTTCCACATTCCCTTGACACTTGTATTAAGGAGTCTGGGGAAGAAACACAACCCAGTTTGCTCAGACAGGCTTGGCGGTGGGAGATGGTGTCTCTGTAAATGGGGATGAATCATCTGTCCCTATGCTTTGCTTGGGACCTGGTAGCTCTAGGACCCCTATGTGGTGTAGGAGAGGCTGCTGGGATGTACCTTGTGCAAGGGGCTTAGTCCCCACCAGAGAGCATGGTGTCTGGCAGAGTCCTCTTTCTTCTTAAGTCTCACTCTGTGCCATGGGACTGACCTGTGGTTTCTAACCTTTTTTCCTCCTGCCAGTTTGTAGAGGGAATCTTTAACTATTTGTGTATTTCTTTTATCAGCTGCCTGCGAGAGCCAACTATTTCTCTGTAGTCTCTGAACTGTAGTAGACTGCTCTGGAGCTATGTTTTTCCATTGCCACACTTACCCTCTAATACAGAAATGTAGGTATCCTCTGTGAGGATTTAGGAATTTAATCAGTACATTAGCATCCTTTCCTAAATGGCTTTATTCCTTTCACTTAAAAATGGGCCTTTTGGGCTTCGCTGGTGGCGCAGTGGTTAGGAATCTGCCTGCCAATGCAGGGGACACGGGTTCAAGCCCTGGCCCAGGAAGATCCCACATGCTGCACCACAACTACTGAGCCTGAGCTCTAGAGCCCGCAAGCCACAACTACTGAGCCCATGTGCCACAACTACTGAAGCCTGCGTGCCTAGAGCCTGTGCTGTGCAACAAGAGAAGCCATGACAATGAGAAGCCCGTGCACTGCAACAAGGAGTAGCCCCCACTCACTGCAACTGGAGAAAGCCCGTGCACAGCAACGAAGACCCAACACAGCCAAAAAAAAAAAAAGGCCCTTTTGCTCTAGTAGGACAAGGGAATGGGGCTTCCCTGGGTTCACTCTTTTCCTTTCTCTATCACACCCTAACTGATCTATTGGGAAAGAGGTGTGTATGGAGGTCCTGGAACCTTGAAACTTATCACTTAAACTTCAGATCAGTGAGGACACAGAATGAAAAAATTACTTCATCTGGGTGGAAGGTTTCTTTTTGCCCTTCCCCACCCCTCAATCATTGCATTTTCGTTGCTCTGCCTACCCACAAGAAGTAGAGGTAGCCAGTAATTCAAGCCTTAAGCATTCTCTATTTATTTATTTATTTAGGCCGCACCATGGGCAACTTGCAGGATAGTCCCCTGACCAGTGATTGAACCCAGGGCCATGGCAGTGAAAGCGCTGAGTCCTAACCACTGGACCGCCAGGGAAGTCCCAAGCATTCTCCATTTAAAAGTGATATTTAATTGGTCTTTTATTCTGACTTTCTTTTAGAAAGTCCAAAGAAGATTAGGTCACCACAAAGCTCAATCACTCTAGTTTTCTAAAGGTAGCCTAAGGGTAGGTAGTTTTGAAGGAGGTGAGTGAGGTATAGACTTAACCTTGCAGGTTATTGCTAAGCTGGGGATTGGTCAGCCTCTCCGGAGTTTGAAGTTGAATTCTCATGCTATATCTTCTTTTTTTTTTTTTTTGAGGAGGTTTCTTCTTTTTTAAAAAAATTAATTAATTAATTTTTGGCTTCTTTGCTGCATGCGGGCTTTCTCTTGTTGCGGTGAGCGGGGGCTACTCTTCGTTGTGGTGCGTGGGCTTCTCATTGCAGTGGCTTCTCTTGTTTCAGAGCACGGGCTCTAGGTGTGTGGGCTTCAGTAGTAGTGGTACACGGGCTCAGTAGTTGTGGCTTGTGGGCTCTAGAGTGCAGGCTCAGTAGTTGTGGCGCACAGGCTTAGCGGCTCTGCGGCACGTGGGATCTTCCCAGACCAGGGCTCGAACCCGTGTCCCCTGCATTGGCAGGCAGATTCTTAACCACTGCCCCACCAAGGAAGTCCCTTCATGCTATATCTTGATGGTCCTTAAATTTTGTTTTCCATCTCTGCAGTCAGATGCCCTGGATGCAGCTAGAGGGTGATTCTCTGTACATATCCCAGGCTAATTTCATCCTGGCCTATCAGTTCCGCCCAGATGGTGCCAGCTTGAACCGGAGGCCCCTGGGAGTCTTTGCTGGGCATGATGAGGACGTTTGCCACTTCGTGCTGGCCAACTCGCATATTATCAGTGCAGGAGGGTAAGTGCTGCAGGCTTTTCCTTCCTTCCTCCTCCTCAGTATTCTTCAGAGACCTTCTGCCTGCCTCTGACTTTTCTGTCTCAACTCCAAAGGGGTGAGTAGGGAGACTAGAAGAAGGGGTAATTTTTTTTCCATTTAAAGCAGGTACTTCATAGTGTTAGCTGGAGAAGGAAAACAGGAAGAGCCTTTAATGAAAAGTGAAACTGGTTTTGATACTCTCAAGTGGGAAATTTGTTTTGTCTCTCAGCTCTCTGTTCAGCCCCAAGTATACTGAAGAAGTAAAGGTATCTAGAAACTCAGCACCTTATTGGGCTGAATTGTCTAAAGCTTAGCAAATTTGGAAGTCATTGGAGACTCCAGCTGTTTCTGTAGACTTGTTCTTTTCCTACAGAGAGAATAACTGGCTCTTGGGGGTTGGCTTCTTATTTCTCTTGTAGAGATGGGAAGATTGGCATTCATAAGATTCATAGCACCTTCACTGTCAAGTACTCAGCCCATGAACAGGAGGTGAACTGTGTGGATTGCAAAGGGGGCATCATTGTGAGTGGCTCCAGAGACAGGACGGCCAAGGTGAGGTGGTCTCCCCCTTACATACTGTTATTTCCTACTGTCTATAGGGAGTGGGGTGGGAGAGGGTGGATAGGACCTTGAGTCTCAGGATTGGCTGAGGGTACTGAGTTGGGGCAGTGGGGGAAACGACACAATAAAGAACTCACTTATGTGCCTCTGGCATGCAGCTTGCCATGCCAGGCTATGTCCCTGCCAGCTGGCCTGGGAAAGGAGTGGACAGTGGCTGGGAAGCTTGCCACTCACTTGAAATGTGGCGTGAACTCAAAAACAGAGGCCTGGCCAGCTTTTCCTCCCTGAGCTGAGTTTTCTCAAGTTTGTGGGTTGAGTTCTAACCCCAATATTTTATTTTAAAATCTCCCTCCTTTTGCTCACTCTCTGTTTGAGAAGGTTAATTTTTTACCACCTTGTTTATAAGCAATCGGGCTGATAATTAAAATGTGTTTTTACTGCTTCTCTGGAGAGTGATGTGGTCAGTAAGCAGTGGAAGGACGACTAGAGGAGGGCATTGTTTGTTGTGTCATTGCCAAGTTGCCTGGTCTAAAGTCAGACATCTGCCAAGGCCCAACAGAATGAGACTGATAAAGTAGTGTAACCCCTGCTTTATGGACTCAGCTCCTCCACGTCTGGGTCAAATAGGCTTTCACCCATGAGGCAGAGAAGAACTTTCTCCATCCCTGTGTCCAGTAGCCCTTGCCAGGACCCACACATGCCTGATCCTTTGAGACTGCTGTGGGAACTTTGCTGATAATTCAGCTGATGGTGCAGGAAGCTCGATAGGTTCTTGCTTGTGTGTTTCCCAGCATCTGGAGATTCCACAGTGCTGATAGGAGCAAAATGCTTGACCATGTCAGCAAATGGGACTCTAGGACACATAGAGAGGGAACTCAGGAAAGAGAAGTTGCAATCTTTACTAACTTTTCTGGCTCCATGTTCCCTCTAGTGATTACACCTTCATGTGAAAATGTTGCTAATTTATGTAAAAAGAAGGACTAAATACGTTCCTTTGTATTTATGGAAGTTTCTCCTCCCTTTGCTAATTTTTTCCTTACACTTTGTATTTTGTCAGAGAGACGTGTGCATCAGCACAGGGAGCCTGAGAAAAATTCAGAAAACCTTCTTCTTTTTTTTTTTTTTTAATTTAAAACAACAGAAATTTATTACCTCCCAGTTCTGGAGGCCAGAAGTCTAAAATCAAGGTTTCTTCTTTTTAATTAATCTTTATTGGAGTATAGTTGCTTTACAATATTGCGTTAAGTTTCTGCTATACAGCAAAGTGAATCAGCTATACGTATACACATATCCCCTCTTTTTTAGATTTCCTACCTATTTAGGTCACCACAGAGCATTGAGTAGAGTTCCCTGTGCTATATAGTAGGTTCTCATTAGTTATCTGTTTTATACATAGTAGTGTATATATGTCAATCCCAATCTCCCAATTCATCTCACCCCAGAAAATCTTTTGAACCAACATGGAAACTGAATTTCCTATCTCTTGCTTCCGAATCCCCCACCCCATACTTACTTCAGGTTTTTGATTGGTCATTGTCTCTGTACCATTCCTTGTAAAGAGACGAACCTTAACTTGCTATACTGCTCAGAAGTCAATTTGCACAGAAAACTTTTGTGCATGTGGGACCTAGATATTCTCATCTCATTCTAGCATTTTCTTGTCACAGCTTCAAGCTTCCCCGTGAAGCCTTCAGTGACATCTCTTCTATCCATTTCTCTGTGGTATGACACCCAGAGCAGTGTACAGCTAAGCTTTATGACCACAGGTAGCAATTCAGGGCTATAGACTGCTTACAGTTGAAGATTGACAGCAATTTTATTTAGGATATTGGGTTAGTTTCATGTTTTAAGTATAATTATTTACTGGTTTAGAGTTTTGAAGCATTAAAATCGGTACTTTCTAATTCTAAAATTGTCACTGCAGTAGATCCTATTCCTTTTGAGGATTTCTTTTTAGTCAGTGACAGAATTCTCCCCCCTGGTTCTTCAACTCCAGGAAGCTAGTCAGCTGTTTTGCGATTTCCCAGTGACCTCCAGGCCAGCTCATCTTTTTGGCTTTCTGGATGCTGCTTCGGTTCCCTCCTTCTATTGTTGTCTTTGCATTTAGCCGTCTTCATCTTTCTGGACCATTTTCACATTACCCACGTTTAGTCTTTTATAACTGACTTTCCATTTCTTTTTGGTGGCATCTGTAATTCTCCAGCTGCTTGTACAGGTTTCTAATACCTGAACCTACATAAGAACTTAGTCATGTTTGTCTGTAAACATCTATAGCCTGTTTTTTAGGAGTTCCCCAAAATGGACTATGTTTTAGGGAAGAGATTTATTGGGGTGAAGGGAAACAAAACATTTTCTTTGCAAAACTTCTGAGCTAGGGACTGCCCAGAGAGCTTCCTTCCCCTGCCTCCAATCCTAGTTTCAGATTTACTGTGACTTAGCTTGGATTGCCCCTCTGGGCTTTGGTGAGGCTGGCCCCATCCTGAGATGTGATAGGATGGTAGCTTACATTCTTGCTGGGCCTGGGCCAGGTCTGATCATTCCTTCATTTTTTTCCATTTTCTTTATTCTTTCTTTCATTCTGATAAGTGCTTACTGTATGTGAGGCTTCAAAGGGGAAGAAGATACAGCCTTTCCTTAAGGGGAGTTGAGACTGCATGCACTAGCTATGAAGCTATGAAGCTGGTTGGAAGTGGTCAGGACTATGAAGTTTAAGGCTCTAGGAAAAGGGCCAGAAAGTTTGGAGGGTGGAGAGATCACATTTGACTTGGAAGGGGAGATTTTATGAAGGAGGGAACATTTGAACTGTTTTTTTTTTCTTTTAGGTGTTTTTCAGTGTATAGGTTTGCTTTTTTTGTTTTATAATAACATAGAATGTAACCAGGCACTGTGCTAATAAGCACTTTATTTACATTTATTCATTTTCTCATTCTATCCTTTAGGGTAATTTTTCCCCACATAATTATGGTCATAATATATCTATTTTTTAAATGAATTTTTATTGGAGTATAGTTGATTTACAATGTTGTGTTAGTTCCTGCTGTACAGCAAAGTGAATCAGTTATACATATACATATATCCACTCTTTTTTAGATTCTGTTCCCATATAGGTCATTACAGAGTATTGAGTAGAGTTCCCTGTGCTCTACAGTAGGTTCTTATTAGTTATTTATTTTATATATAGTAGTGTGTATATGTCAATCTTAATCTCTTAATTTATCCCTCTCCTGCCTTCCCCCTTGGTAACCATAAGTTTGTTTTCTATATCTGTGACTCTATTTCTGTTTTGTAAAGAGGTTCATTTGTACCATTTTTTTAGATTCCACATACAAGAAATATCATATGATATTTGTCTTTCTCTGTCTGACTTACTTCACTCAGTATGACAATCTCTAGGTCCATCCATGTTGCTGCAAGTGGCATTATTTTGTTCTTTTTTATGGCTGAGTGATATTCCATTGTATATATGTACCACATCTTTATCAATTCCTCCGTGAACGGATATTTAGGTTGCTTCCATATCCTGGCTATTGTAAATAGTGCCACAATGAACATTGGGGTACATGTATGTTTTAGAATTATGGTTTTCTCTGGATATATGCCCCAGGAGTGGGATTGCTGGATCATATGGTAGTTCCATTTTTAGTTTTCTAAGGAACCTCCATACTGTTCTGCATAGTGGCTGTACCAATTTACATTCCCACCAACAGTGTAGGAGGGTTCCCTTTTCTCCACACCCCTTCCAGCATTTATTGTTTGTAGATATTTTTGATGATGGTCATTCTGACCTGTGTGAGGTGATATCTCATTGTAGTTTTGATTCGCATTCATAATATATCTTATATACCCAATGTACCCTGCTGTGTCTACTTTATTTTATAAGGTTTTCCATTTTTATTGCAAATTACTTGTGTCATCTTTAATGGCTTCACAATGGACTCACCATAATTTAGTTACTATTTTTCCTATTGGTGGATGTTTGTATCTATTTCTTTCCTGTAGTAATAAGGACCACCATTATTGATGCCTAATGTCTGCCAAATACTGTGCTTCTGTGCTGGGTGCTTTACACTTATCTTCATTTTTCCACACTGCAACCCTAAAAGATAGGCATTATTTCCCATTTTATACATGAGGAAACTGAGGCTAACAAGTTATAAAATATCCCTAACATCAGAGATAAATAAGTAGCAACTAGGGTTCCAACCCAGATTTGTCTAATCCTAAAGCCCATGTATGCTCTTTCTGCTATTGCAGGCTGCAGGGAATATTTTTATCATTTAGGTTTTTCTTCGTTTTAGGATTATTTTCTTAGGATAGAGTCTCAGCAATAGAATTACTGAGTTGAAGGCTTTGGTTATTTTAAGGATCTTGATACATATTGCCAACTGCGTGTGCGTGTGTGTGTGTGTGTGTGTGTGTGTGTGGTACGCGGGCCTCTCACTGCTGTGGCCTCTCCAGTTGCAGAGCACAGGCTCCAGACGCACAGGCCCAGCGGCCATGGCTCACGGGCCCCGCTGCTCCGCGGCACGTGGGATCCTCCCGGACCGGGGCACGAACCTGTGTCCCCAGCATCGGCAGGTGGACTCTCAACCACTGTGCCACCAGGGAAGCCCGCCAACTGCTTTTTATAAGGACTGTGTAAATGCCACTGAGTTATATCTTCTCCAGGGTTGGGTCTGTTTTGAATTTGATCACTGAGGGTTAAGATGTGATCAGCATACTCATGTTTTGGTGGATGGTGTGCTACTACTGGTGCGGGTCAGGAGGGCCACTTTCCCCAGATCGTGCTTGGGAAATTGGCAGCATGCTTCCAGAGCCACCCCTGGAGACCAGGAACCTTGTTCTGTGGTTTTCAGTCTGGGGATCCACCAGCCTGTTCAGTGGAGGACACTAGTGAATTCAGGCCTAGGGCTGCCCCCAGAGATTTTGTAATCAGAGTCTCTAGTCACCCATACCAAACAAGAACCTGCCTCCTAGGTAGTTTGCATCAGGGAAAAGAAAAACTTCTCTTCCAAGCCAAGGCTGTCTGAAAGAGGACATTAGATGCATCTAGTTACTACCAAAGTGACCTAATCCAGAAGAATGAGCCAGAATCCTGGCATTCCAGGAAAGTTGTGGTGTTTACCTTTGTTTTCTGCCCTTCCTTATTCAGATCTTCTTGTTAAATTTATTTTCTTTTCCTGATGTTGGGAAAAGTAACTCACACCCTTCTCCCCCTATCATAGACACACAAAATCTAAGAAACACTTTCTCCTTTTATAGAGAAGAGGTATCATGTGATCCTAAGCAGTCAGGACCACCCCCACTCCATCACCTACCCCTTAAACTCAAGGAATGTTTCCTGAAAGTTCTTCCATCTAAGGTCCTGTCTGACTTTTTTGTGTTCCCCTTATAGCACTGCAGGGACCTTGAGAGGTCACTGATCCATCTGGCCTCCTCGGGATCCCTCCTTGGCTGCTGTCTGGGGACAGCCCTGTACATTTGAGGTTTCCTCTCTGTTTGGTTAGAGGCTTAGTCCCCTGTGTGTGTCATCTGGGGTAGGGTGAGGTGAGGGGGCCTTGTGCTTAATGGGAGATTTCTAAATGCACTGACCGCTGAGAGGGCTCTGTGAGTGTTGATTAGAGTTAAGCCCAGAGTGGCTGCTAATGTACATTCCTGACTGATAGGGACTAGATAATGTGCTCCAAGCAATATTTTTAACCAGTAGGAGATATGGAAGCTTAAAAGAGTTAAGCTTTTCTGCTACTTTTGGTGACACTAGGTGCTAAATTCCCTGCTGACATGAATAGCACTGGATTCTGGGCATTATCAACAAACAAACAACAACACACCACCTTCCCACTTTGAAGTCCTCTTCTTCCATTTTTCCTTCCCTTGGATCTTTCTTTTTACTCCTCTCTCTCTAATTCTAATCTAATTCTATCTCTGTCCACTCATACTGGGCCTTGATCTTCCTCCCTCTCCCTGCCTCCCCAAAGTAAAATCTTGGTTAGAGACAGGAAAAGGAAAATCCACAAACACGGGGAGGTTACTAAGAGAGGCAAGCCTCACCTGCTCACGCGTCTCAGTCAGGTCTCAGCTGAGGAACGTGGAACTCCTGATTCCCTGGTGTACAATTGGCTGCTGCGTAAGGGCTCTCAGGTGGACGTGAAAGGGTGGTTAGGACTGGGAGCCAGCGTCTGTTTGGGCGGTAGGCAAGGCAGAAGCTGGAGAGGTCCCTCTGCTGCTACCCTGAGCTCTGTGTGTACAGTATAGAAAGGATTCTCCATTTCCCCACCCACCCTAGGAACAGTGACTCCACCTGGTGCATTTTCCAACCCTCATCCCGATCCCAGGCAACGCCAACGAGAGCATCTCCTCTCCTGTTTCCAGGTATGGCCTTTGGCCTCAGGCCGGCTGGGGCAGTGCTTACACACCATCCAGACTGAAGACCGAGTCTGGTCCATTGCTATCAGCCCATTGCACAGGTAAGGGAGATGTTTTGGTGTATGGTTTTATCCCATGTAATAATGCTTTTATTTTATGAGGTCAGGTGGGTGTCATCAGGAGAGGCTTGGGGCCCATGTCCAGTTGGGCCCTCGTGCAAAGTCGTGTATGTGGAGTAGATTTGTTGACAATTATAGCAGAAGTGCCAATTTTGATGACGGCTTTACCCTACCCTTTGGTCTGACTGGTGTTTCTCTAGTTTTGCCTGTGATTGAATGAGCCTTGCATCCTGAATTCTGCTTTCTAGGCTCTCTTGAACCGAGGCAGGGCCTCTCTCCCCACCAGCAGAGTACATAGACACCCTCTCTGCACCTGCTCTGTCAGGGTGTTTAGTGTCTTCTCCCACTTCCTTCACCCCTCACTCCCCACCAAATGATCAATGGGAAAGCTGTAGGGCTGGTACCCTCCAACATCGGGTTTAAGTCAGTCACTTGTTTTATGAGAGAGTTGATCCCCCCTCTTGCAGCCCCCTTCAGCCTTTTTCTCCTCACCCCAAGGAGCCTGCACCCCTCCTCCTGCCCCTTCCACAACTTTCTTTCAAATTTTTTTCCTCCTAAAGAATTAGAGCCGATTAGCCACGTCATTAATTCTTCAATTTGACGGCTGATATAGCAGGACCTGAAACACATTGCTGACCTCAGAGAATGGAGACCCCGTTCCTTAGCATATTGACGATGGGAGAAGTTAATTAAAATTCCACAGAGCGGAGGTGTCGGCTAACCTATAAACCTGTCGCTGTTCAGAACAAATCATTCTAGCAATCCTAGGAAAAAGGGAAGGAAAGACCAGCAGGGAGTAGAGAGGCCTAAGTGTGTGGGAGCAGAGGGTGGAAAATGGAGCCATTGAGCTCTGGCCCCTCCTCAGTTTCTTCCTAATGCTGCCCCCTTTAAAGCCAGTTAGCCAAGCCTGGGTGTCTGTGGGCTGGATATGTGTAAGGGTGGGAGGTGACAGTTAGGCTGGTGACTTCATCTTGGTGGTTACCTGAGGACTCCCGCTGGCTTCAGGAGACTGGGGTGGCCTGGGGTGAGGTCGGTGGTGGAGGGATGCTCTTAAGGCTGGAGATGGTCCATGTGCTTCCTGCACATGGAATTAAGCTAAAGACACATACAGGCTCTCCCAGCATCCCCATCTTCATATTCCTCTACTCTAGCCACCTCCTCTGGAATGTGTTACGCTACCTGTTAACAGAATAGAGCGTGGCAGCTGTTGAAGATGATGTCAATAAAAGGTTGAGGACAGTGTCTGCCTTCATCACTGAGAAGCAGTTTAGATCACAGTAAACTGACTTTGGGGCTTTTTTGGCCACAACTTGGAAGCTGGCTTTGAGGAAGGACCTAGCTTCCTAATATTACTAGCACTGCTCTATAACTACTACTGTTACCAGCAGCTAACATTTATTAGTCATATGTTCTATGCCAGACCCTCTGCTAAGTCCTTGATATGCCCCAACTTTGGTGAAAACCTAGGTCTCATGTTTTCTTAACATTCTCCTTAAATGTCTTCTTGGTGTACTTTCTTGCCCCTGGGATGACTCTTTCACTCACTGTTGGCTGGCTGTTTAGCTCCATGACCCACAGTTATTTGAGATGACCTTTACCCCAAGTCCACAAATGGTGTCTTGGACTGTTTTAAAAAAGTAGTTTGTATTTGGGATTCTGTCATTACACTAAATGACCAGAGTATATGTTGGTGTTCTCTCTGCTTCTTTTTCTCTTACCCCAAAAATATATTGGGATAGGAATCTTTTCATCTTATTAGATCCATTTCTTCTCACTGTGTCAATGAATTTGAACCTTTCAGTAAACTGAACCATTTTCCCAATCTTGGAAGACACTGCCTCCTAGCTGTAGGGTCTGTTCTGGGAAACTGGAGTTCTGCTTTGCCACCAACCAGGAGGGTGGCCTCGGGTGAGTCCTCGGAGCCGTGGTTTCCTCGTCTGTTAAATATGAATACCATTTCCTTCATAGTCCTTACTAGGTCATTGTGAAGATGATCTGAAATAATGCATATGAAAATACTCTACAAAGCTAAAAGGGCTAGAATCTTGTGTCAGCCAGAATCTCTCCCAGCTGGTGAAGCATTTGTTTAGCTGCTTTAGCTGCTCTCACGTCACCACCCTTCCCTGGGGCTTCTCCTGTCCCTCATGGAGTTACACTGCTCTTTTGCATTCTTCTTGAGGTGGGGACTCAGCAGGAATCTCTTTCTTTCCTTTTCCCCTGTGGTTTTCCTGCCCTCCGTGGCTGCCTCTGTTCCCTTCCCTGCCACCTTTCTTGTTGAGTGTGGTCGTCAGTGTCACTAATGTGATGTGGCCGTGAACCCCTTGTGAAAAACACGAGAGTGGGTGGCCAGCAGCTGTCCTCCAAGGAGCCTGGACAGTTGGGAGACCTGGCACATCTCAGTCTCTTTCTTCTATTTAAAATAATTTGTCAGAGCTATTCATCGTATTTATCTTTGATGCTGGGACTTATCTGCCTTCTTTTCACATGTGTGTACTTAGAAACTTGTAGCATGAAACATGAAACCTCAAGCCCTAGGCTTAACTTGAGGTGTTCGTGACTGGGAGAAAGCAGGTATTCTGTCCTGTGTCCAAATGGCACCTCTTCTTCCTTTCTTGACCTTGAGTTCTTGGTTTGTAAACACTCTTGGAGGATAATATTTAATACCAGTCATGTGCTGAGAGCCATGTTTAGGTACTCAAAAAACGGAAGGAAAACCAGTAGGCTCCATGGGAAGGTGGCAGGCAAGGACCTTTCCCTCTACCTCCTATGTGCCCTCCAACCCATCTTCTGGCCCCAACACTAATAACTCTGCTTTTAGGATTTATGACTTATAGATGCAGCCTTCCTCCTGTAGAGGAGGCCCAACTGGGAGCTGTTTGGTGAGTGAAAGGACTGGTTGAGATGGAACTGAATTGAGATGCTGGAGGTGGAAGGGCACACGTCTGGGTGTGATTGTGGGTCCTAACTGGTCTCAGGATACGATCTCCTGAGGTCACGTAGAGTTCTGAGCACTTTTCCATAAGTATCACAGAAAAGCAGAATTTTTAAAACATGCAGTACATTGTATTGCCATTAAAAGATTATTTCTAGCTGAATAAAGTTAGTAAATACTCAGAGTAAGGAAATGAACTGTTAAAGACTCGATTTCATCCCTTCTATTTTCCATCTCTTTTTTTCTCACTCCCTTTCCTCTGTGCTCCCTGTGTATTGACTGAACACTTGCTGTGGGGTAGCTCTCCTGAGGATCTGATTCAGTGGTGGGGGAAAGATGGGGGCACAACTGTAGTGGTTGCCAGATGATACTGAGTGCCTGAAACTAGTCTGTCTCTGGTTGAGGAAGGGAGAGGGTCATTCCCCTCCTGGCAGAAGGAGAAATTGAGGCTCAGAGAAGGGCACATGTGGGACGGGGCAGAAGAGGCTCAGGTCTCCAGCTTATTGCCACGTGCTGTGGTGCAGAGGGAGGGCCACGAGGCAGGCCTTTACGTCACTGCAATGCCTTCATCCACCAGAATCTTGGACAGTAGCTGTGGCCCTTGAAAGCCTCTGTGGGGATCTGGGAACATTCTCTTTCTGGAGGCCAGAGTTGAGATAGCGAGGGGGAGGGGAGGAAGGCAGTATGTAATCAAGGCCTGGGCTCACTCGTGTAGCTGTGAATGCTTACACCATCCCAGGAGTGCCAGTGCACATAGATCTTCGGTTTGCAGGGCCCTTCCAAGCTGGCTGGGGGGTGCCTTGATGTTGAAATGAGTCTGGAGCCCCATTGCCCTGTTTGCCTTGGAGGGGAAGAGAGAGAAGCCCACAGCGCCTCCTTCCTCTGCAGACACCATATTTATTGCCCTCCAAAAAGAAGGAGGTGCTCAGAAGAATCCTTTCCCCATCTCCGAGCAACACTTGCTATCACGTGAGTGAGTGTGGTCAGGAAGGCTTCCCAGGAGCCTTGGGTTTTAATCCCTTCTCTCTTGTTTCTGTCATTAGGGAAACATATGAGTGGTATAGGTGTGGAAACTTTTCTTAGCTGTGTTATTAAATATACAATATAATTTAGTGTAATTTTGCTCACTGTGGTGGCCTGTTTGTTTTGGGGGGGGATTAGTCCAAGTCTGCCTGTAATGTACCGATTCAAGTTTGTAAAGTGAGTTGTGGCCTCTGGGGGGTTTTGATGGAGGAGCTGCCCCTTCTTGCTTCATTTCTCCCGGAGGTGAGGGAGAGTCTGGAAGGAAAGCCATCACTGTGTACTGTTTGGTAAGGGGGTGGATTTCTGGGGAGAGTGGGTGTTTGTTCCCAGTGTCTACAGGGTTTACTGTGTGTTGTGTGTGTGGCAGACACATTCACCAGCCTTTTGAAATACGCCCTTCTTTAGTGAAAGGTAATTGCATCTGGAGTTTTCTCTGACAGGTTTGAAAGATTGGAAAAAAGGAGGCAGCCAACTTTTAGTTTAGATTCTTTTGGTTCCCAGTGGTTCAGCAACTCTTTGGCCCTGGGCTTCCTAACTCACTCAGTGCTTTTAGCGGAAGACAAATCAAAAGTAAATGTTGTGCCTCTGAGTTTTGCTTTTTCTAGTTGGTGATAAAGAGCTGGTTCCTGAAGGGGATCCCTAACCTTGATAACCTGAGGAAAGACTCTGATGGATGACTTTGTCATGCTTCACATTGTAGCCGCTCATCCTGATGGTTTGGCCCACAGCTGTCAAGATCTGTCTCTTCTCCCTTCCCAGGGTCAGGGGCTTGTCTAGGGAAAGGACACCTTCTCTAGGCGAGGAGTGGCTCAGTGTCCCCTGTTGCCAGGCTGAAGACCACAGTAGAGGGAGTCTCCTGCGTGTGGTGGCCCTAGATAAGAGAGTCTGAGGTACAAAGACAGCATGGAAGGACCAGAGGCTGGCATGGCTGGAAGGGGCTGCATGATGCCTGGAGAAAGAAGGAAGCTCTGCGTGATGCTAGGTGGGCCCACTGGTCCAGCCTAAAATGACCTAAGATTGGAAAGAG